CGCTCACTCCGTCATGTGGATTCGATCTTACAACTGCTAGTCTTCTGACCCTGCAGCACAGGCTTCTGCGGTTTAGTCCACAGCGCCACCACGTCCCTTATGTCCCTTGTAAATCTTCATAGAATTGGTCAATTTCAGCCACTTCAGCATTGGTGGTTGGTGCATAAACTTACTGTGATGTTGAAAGATCTGCCTTGGATTCATATTGAAATCATTCTATCATTTTTGAGATTGTATCCCAGTACCGCTTTCCCCCTCTTTTGTTGATTATGAGGGCTACTTCATTTCTTCTATGGATTTCTTGCCCCAAATCGTACATATGGTAATCGTCTGAACTGAATTTCACCCATTCTCATCCATTTTAGTTCAGTGATGCCCAGGATGTCAAAGTTTATTCTTGCCATCTCCTGTTTGACCACATCCAGCTTACCGTGGTTCATAGATCTTACATTCCAGGTTCCTATGCAGTATTTTTCTTTGTAGCATCGGACTTTCCTTTCACTTCCAGGTGTGTCCGCAGCTGAGCGTCCTTTTGGCTTTGGCCCAACCACTTCATTAGCTCTGGAGCTACTTGTACTTGTCCTCCGCTCTTTCTCAGTAGCATGTTGGATGCCTTCTGACCTGAGAGGCTCATCTTCCAGCGTCATATCTTTTAGCCTTTTGTTTCTGTCCACCGGAGTGACTTGCCAGTTCCTGCTCCAGGTGGATTGCATTTACTCAGAACTCTCCACTATGAGCTGTCCGTCTTGGGTGTCCCTGCACGGCATAGCCCATAGCTTCTCTGAATTACTCAAGCCCCTTTGCCACGACAAGGCAGCAATCCGTGAATGGGCAAATGATACTAGGGTCCTCTTAATAAACTGTACACATCGAATTTCAGGTGTCTAAATTTCATGGTCTTGCGACTATGGCGGAAACAGATTTATACATTCTCTTTTACTATGTACAGTAGTTGGACAAAGTCCATGCATATGCATTCCAGGTGACAAAAATAGTGGAAGATTGTGTAATCCTGATGCATGCACAGATTGCAGTTTTGAAGTAGAATTTATCCTTTTATTACAGTGACTTGCACTGAAGATGGTGATCTTCTGTTAGACTAATTATAGTGGCAATGCTGGATGTCTTGCTTTTGGATTGTAACGGGGCGACATGGAGACACACACTTTTTCCATTAGTATCCTTTCTCTACCCCCACAATCCAAGTAATTTTCTGCCATCATTTTACCACACTCTTTCAAATAAATGGTCATCTATTTTCTTGAATGGTTTCCTCCCAGATGCCTCTACCCTGTAATCATGCATTAAACAAATTGTAGTACAAATGGGTTCAGGGATGCTCAATGACTGCAAGGAGGAAAGCAGGGTGGAAGAGAGCAGAGCGAGAGGAAGCAGGGGACATTATCTATTCTGCTGATCATGGTAGAAGGGATATAACGGTTGATTTACATCTATTACGGTAAAAAAAGAGGTCAGTTTTATTATCAGGCATTGTAGCAATGTGCACATCTCAAATGTGTTCATTTTCAGCGTAAAGCTTCCAGACATCATGGATAAAGAATCTCTAGATTTCTTATGATTTTTCTAATGCTCTTGATGTGGTTTGCCCAGGGATTGTCTAAAGCAGTGGTTCCCAAATCACCACCCTCACTTCTTCCCCAGGATTTCCCAGATCATTCATTGGAAAGGAAAGGAAGGTGATGGGCAGCTGGAATTGTTTGTCTAGTTAAAGGTCCTCTGGAATCAGAAGATGATCCAGAGCTTCTAGGCCAAAGACTGTCTAGAAGAGTAGGGCCAAGCCAGGAGACCGGCAAAGCATTGTGAAAGAACCTGCGCCTTTGGTAGAACTCAGGATTATAGATTTCTCTTTCTGTCTACCAGAAGTGGGGAGGAAGAGATAAGACCTCCTTCCTGCAGTGCTTGGAAAAGTTACTTTTGGGGGGAATGACAGCTCTCAGAAGCCTCCTGCCAGCATGGTCAATAATGCTTCTGTTTAAAGATACAGGCTATGGCATGCAAAGGAGTGTCCATGTGCAGGGAAGGAAAGAGAAAGAAACTCCTCATGAGTAATGGACTTCTTGTGAGGAAGGCCATCCTCATGAACAGAACCTTCATGGAGTGATTGCAAAGACCCAATGCACCCCCAGACCCCTCAGGATTATAAGCCTCGGTTTTTTTTAAACAGGGAAGATAATTATAGATCCCCTGTAGCCCCAGCTTGCAGTCTCCTTGACTCTCAAACCCTTGCTTGCATTGGCTTTGAATGGCTTCTCAACTACAGCTTTTGATTTGCCTTTTGGTCATGTGACATGTTAAGAGGAATGTCTCTACTGTATTTCTTGCTGTTACATTTACCCTCCAGGCATGTAGTTCCTGCCAGATTCGAGGTATGTCTTAATATTTAGAATTGAAAATGATACCCATGCTTACCTCCTTTTGATCAATCACAAAACAACAGCAGCTAATTTGCAACATTTATTACTTATTAAAAGTGTTTGTTTGCCTCTGTTTTTTTAGCAGCAAAACTCCCAAAGCCATTTGTAAAAGGTTAAATTATTTTTTAAAAGTTGTAAAACATTTTAAAAATCCATCCTGATTTATGACATTCATTAATAAGATTTTTTATGACATTCATTAATAAGAGTTTTTT